GTTGGTGCGTCATCATTGGAGAAAAGGTTTAACAATTCTTAAAGCCGTCGAAGAGATTGATGAGAGTGAAGGTTCTGGTATGGCGACTAAATAGACTACAGTCATGTGGTTCAAGCAATTCAAAGTAGACTACTTTGATCTTGGAGATGGCTCGTTCTGGTCGGCCATCTGTTTTGGAAGAAAGTGACTTTGCAAGCCGCTTAAGATGTCGTTCCATTAAGCATTCGTAATTGGCTGGAGAGCTTGGTGTTTCGCATCGAACTGTTGTCAACAAGTTGCACTGAAGGCTTTGTTAACAAGACGCCTCGTGAGGATTCGTCTGGGATCAGTCCACACGCTGCTCCATCCGATTGTGGCACCTTTAGACCACTATAACACTTCCTGTATGGCTTTCGATTTGAATCATTTGATGAAGTTGAAGAAGCAAGTGAACTGTTTTTCGATTCAAAGTAGCTGAAATGGTACTTCGAGCACATCCGGAATCTCGCAGAGCGATGGCAAAAGTCGTATGGTGTTCACTTTGTAGGGTAGTCATTGTCGAATCTGTTGTTAATTTGGGTATAAAAATGTACTTTCAAAAGGTTCCCAGATATTTTGTTCAACCCTATTATTAGTATTATTATATGGTATTGGTATTATTATGTAGTATTATTGCTAGCAACAGGTTTTCATGGTTTTTTTTTCTTGAAAATTTGATATGAATTCACCAAATAGAAGGTACCTAGGGCTATATGATAATAGTAGCATTGACGATTATCATATAAAAGTGGTGGTTTTCTATTTAACGTATTAATATCACTGTATACAAGATGAAAGCCTGTGACGTTCTCACTGTCATTGCATTCGACAAAATATCAATTTGACGTTAGAAACTTGGAATGTAAATACTTAACAACAAGGTTTTCTCAGAAAAAACATCTGAAAAGGCGTTGTGTAGGTCATCACGTGGCCCAGCGATTGATCATGCAAGCCATCAGGAAGCAAGGTGCTAATATAATCCTTTTCCCCAAAACTCTCTCGCAGACGGAGAGGCGATCAACTTCAAGCGCCATGTGAGCACCTGGACCGCTGCAATCAGACCCTGTCAGGTCGACGTCGCTTATTCAAGACAACACAAGGCCGTATATCGCTAAATTGATGAAGAAGGAATTGAGCGAATTGAGCTAGGAGTTACTAGATCATCCGCCGTGCAGTCCTAAGTTGTCGCCATCTGACTATAACCTCTTCTGATCGCTGGATTTCTCCTGAGCAGAAAAGAAGTTTCGAGGCATCAGTCATTGCGGAATGACAACCTTCTTTGAATCCAGAGATGACGAGTTCTATGAATGAGGTAGTGATTTGTTGCCAGAAAGATGCCAGAATTGTGTTGAGGGTGCTGACTCATACTTTGAATGGTGAATAGTGTTCTTAAGTAATTTCGATTCCTTCTGGCTACTAAGTGCGGTGTTTATTGCTCTAAAGCTAAAACTCATCGGAAGATCTAATGATATCCACTCGTTCGAATTGTTTTTGACCAATACTGATGCTTTTATGACCGTACAAAGGAGAGCTATGGCAAATGAAGTTTTGCGAAAGAGAACTGTATTATTGACATCGAAGCTATTCAGAGGAGTCTATTTTGTTCTTTTTGAAGAGATATTGTTGTAAATATCCAAGTAATAACATTGAGATAATAGGATATCCTGAATCAGTTAGAGTTTCACATCTGCATTTGGAAAGCTATCATCTCATTATAAAATTGACAGAAAAAAACCTTTGATCACCAAAAACTACCCCAGAAGGTGGCATGTATAGAAACCCTGCCTTCTAAGTGTTATGAGTTTTTATATCACTATTATGAGTAGTTCTTCGAAATCTATCATGTGAAGCAAGTCGAGCACAATAATTTGTAATATTCAAGCACATGTATGTACGCACAGATAGGTACTCTCCTGTTACTGAGAGGTTTTAGAAAAACCTTTTTGCTGCACAAGGCTTTCCGATAGATTGTTGATGATCATTCGGAAACGTGAATCTCGATGATTTCAAAAATGTACCTGTTATGTGAAAAGGCATTACAGCGTTGTAGTAAAAAGATGAACTCTCGCAGTTGATTATTACCTGAGAGATGCGTCATGCATTCGACCTCATTAAGCATTGTTTGTGGTGACCGATTGTAGATCTGAACCGTAGAAAGACTTTCGTTGCTATCAAATCAGTACTGCATTCTCACAGACAAACTTGGAAGCAGCACGCCATCCCCGGAGGGACGAAAGGCTCGGTTAATCTTAAGCGAGTAATAGCACCATCAACTAGTGGGGTCGTAAGACAGCTCTAACCACTACGCAACACATGCTCCTTCTAATGAAGTAACTCTGTCAAAAGCACATGGGAGCCAAAACTAAGATCGAACAAAAAATTTTACACAAACGAACCCAAAAGATCACTAGTTGCATAAATAGATAATTTCTGGTAAGCAATATACTTCGAAGTCTTGCTCAGGTTTACCTGAACGTTTCGTAATTGATCTCAAAATATGTAGAGCAAAGAAACACACATCAAAATATTTTAAGCTAGATCGACATTTTGCCCTACTTCCCAGACGCCAAATGATATATTTGAGTCTTTGTAATCGTATTATTTGGTAATTTCAATAACTGAAATTGTAAATCAGTTCTGTTTTCAAGAAAGGAAGAAGTCACGGATATGGAACACAGTTCTGAGAAGTAGTGGTGGAAAGACTTTCTTCCCAAGACCTGTACAAACCGACCACTCCTCATCTAGTGCCACAAAGTCTATATGCTTAACCAACCAGAATTTTCTACTATTAACATTTTCTGCCATGCTATGTAGAATCTTGAACTTCAGATGAAAGCTAAACTCGCGATTCACGCATGTCAGGAGAATGTGCTAAGCCTACACCACCCTGGCCGTTGCTCTGCTATCATTCTTTGTGCAATGACAAGTAATTGAACTAATGAATCGAATTATCGACAGGTAAAATGAGCCGTTAATTTGTCATGTTTTACAATACAGAAAGAGCGATAGTAGAGCAACGGTTTGAGAGATCTTGTGGTAGCACCTACCCCCTGTATGCGTGAACACGAGATTCAACTCCCTCTTAAAATTCAGAGCTTTGCATAGCACTAAACATTCTTACAGGTGTAGTTATATCATCACAAGATCGCTACAAACGCAACAGATCAAATGATTCTTGATTGCGGTCGAATCTTCACATTCATTTTTTTTTCACATTGTGAGTCTTGCTGTCGCAACGGCACAAATCTCTGTAGCGAAGCTCGCTTGAATAAAGTACTCTTTTTCACTGAAGCAGTTCCATGCAGGGCGATTGTTGATTAACAGTTCAGTGGGATGTTTGCGATTGAAAGCAGGTCGGGCAACACTGGCTTTGGTGATTTCTGGTGCCTACGTCCTTATATCAAGCTGCATCAAAAATGATATATATGCCTTGTTGCATTTATATCATGAAAGAAACTGTAACCATCCTTGTTGCAGCTAATAAATCAGCGCCTTTACCTTTTTCACAGAAGCAGTTTTTGAGATAGTTTCCACTTTAGTCCATTTTTGCAGTGTGAATCATCGTTGTTCCCTCTAACCGAATTCAGCGAGCTCGAGCACTGAACGATGGAAGTACCTATGGTAAAAATCAATGTATTACCAAACGATATGTGACAACAACTAAAAGTCATATATAGCCATTCAAAGAATCTCCTTAAGTTCACACCCTAGTATTCTGGGATTGATATACTGCGTCACACCTAAGTATTCTGGGATTGATATTCTACTCTTTTTGGCGAGCCACAGTCTCTGCGCTACACTTTCTCTTTGGCAGTAGTGGTTTCTCTTCTATTGAATGAACCCGTCCAGAGCGGGGTTTTTGCGATAACTAAGTGGTAAGTTGCTCAAAAGATATTAGATACAAAGTAAGTGCATATACAATTGCAACTCTCTGGAAGTGGCTACATTACGAAAGGTATCAGAAGCCAAGCAAAGAGATGTAATATTAGTTTGGTGCAAAAGCAATTGCGGTTTCGGACCCCTTTTAGATCTCAGTCACTTTTGTGTTTTGCTTCAAATGCGAGATTGGTAAAATGGTTGACGTTGAGTGCGTCTGAAAAGTTTTATGTAATAGTTTTAAAGGGAAGGCACAACAAGAAAATCTGTTGCGGACGATGGTTTCAACGCTTTAACTCCGGAAATTTTGATCTTGAACACAAGCCTCGTTCAGGACGTCCAACAAAGTTGAACAAGGAAATTTTGATTGCTGCTTTGGAAGATGAACCGTTTTTAAGAGCTCGCTTAGCAACCGGACTTGATGCTTATCATACAACTGCTAACTCATCTTAACCAGCTCGACTTTGTCCACAAGAAGCCACGACAAGATTCGCAAGAAGTCAGTGATGCATAAGCCACTAAAAAATTGGAGAAGCACGTTCAGAGGTTTTTGATTCGAAGTCGAAATGATTTTACTTCGACCGGATCCGAAACATTTGCGGGCTGATAGTAGAAAGTCGTAGAAAACGATGGCCTTCATCTTGAAGAATAGTGCATATTGTTTTGTTCTGAGTTCATGCATGAATTTTCATATTTTCGCGAGTGCACTAAAACGTTCTTTTTAATCTAATGGTTATTGTCAACCTTGATTAACATGTCTTCTTATAAATACAATTTCCTCCTACACATATCTCAAAAAAAGAATGTGTGAGGAGTGAGTATTTCTTATGCCACATTCAAGCTTAACAAGCTGAGTCGTTGAATGCCCCGGATATGAACCGAACAATGTAGAGTGGTGTGCAGGAACATCTGCGTCAGTTGGGATTCGAACCCAGATTTCACCTTATCCGGGGGAGCGCGCTGAACCGTTGTAGTGCAACGGTTCAGCACACGCCTCTTGATAGGATGAATCTGGGTTCGAATCCCAGCTAACGCAGAAGTTCTTGCACACCACTCTACATTATTGGGCTCATTGTAACATCGTACAACCGCAATCACCTGTATCACCTGTCGTCCCGTTGATCGTCGAGTGACTCGAGCGGGTACCAGCAACTCTTCCATTTTTCCCTATCGCGTGCAAGAGTAGCCCAGTGGGTCCTCCTCGCTCTAGGAATTCGCTGAGCATCATATCTTTCTTCCATCGCTTTCGTGAAGAAATCGGACCAACGGGTCAGTGGTCTTCCTTTAGAGCGCTTGACGTCCCGAGGAATCCAGTCGGTAACGGCTCTCGTCCATCGGTTGTCGTTGAAGCGCATCACGTGTCCGGCCCACCTTATTTTCGATATCCTGGCGTGTAGAACGGCGTCTCTGATTTTCGATCGTTGACGTAGGTCGGAACTTCGGATCCTTTCTCTCATTTGCGAAATACGAGATACTCCTAGCATCGACCTTTCGACTGCGCGTTCAATAACGCCAAGTGATCTTTCATCCTGCTTACGTAGCGACCAGGTTTCTGCTGCATACGTTAGGGCAGGGATAATTGTCGAGTCGAAAAGGTGGGCACGGAGTCGGATGTTCTTTGTCCTCTTCACTACATCTTCGATGCTCTTAAACGTTCCCCAAGCCGCTCGTTTCCTCCTGCTCAACTCTGGGGCTAGGTCGTTCATCATGTTGATTTCACGACCTAGATAGATGTAACTGGAGCATTCGGAAATTGTCGTTCCGTTGAGCGTGAATGGGGCATTAGAAACCCATCCGTTCCTCATGAACATTGTTTTCGTTAGATTCAGTTGAAGACCGATCTTTCCACAGGCGTTATCGAAATCAGTCAACATTCGTTCCGCTTGGCTGATGTTTGGTGTTATGAGAACGATATCGTCAGCAAAGCGAAGATGGTTTAATTGTCGACCGTCAATTTTCACTCCCATTTCGTCCCATTCTAATGTTCGCATGACGTTTTGTAGGGTGGCAGTGAATAGTTTTGGCGATATTGTATCGCCTTGTCGAACCCCTCTTCTTACGTCAATGGTGATATTGTTGTAGAATGGAGATATTCTGGTCGTGAAATCTTTATAAAGCTCACGAAGGATCATTATGTATCGAGTAGGGATGCCCTGGTTATCCAGAGCCTCTATAACCGCTTCTGTTTCCACTGAATCAAAGGCTTTCTTCAGAACGATGAAAGTGAGACAGAGTGGTTGTTTGTACTCTCGCGAAACTTCAATGAGTCTTGTGATCGTGTGGATGTGGTCTATGGTACTAAATCCTTTTCTGAACCCTGCTTGTTCGCATGGCTGTCCTTCGTCCAGTGTTCTATCAATCCTGTTCAGGATGACTCGAGTAAAGAGTTTATAGACAACGGACAGCAAGCAGATTGGGCGATAATTGCCTATGTCGTGAAGGTCTCCCTTTTTGAACAACAATACGGTCTTGCTGGTTTTCCATTGAATAGGGACCTTGCATTCTGACAGGTAGCGAGTGAAGAGCCGAGCCAGGGTGTTGATGAGAACTGGCGGCAGGTTCTTCAGGTGTTCTGGTCTAATCCTGTCTGGACCGAGTGTTGTTCTGTTTTTCACCGACGATATAGCATGTCGGATTTCGGAAGGAAGGACCGGTGGAACGACATATTCGTCCTCTTTCAATTTATATGACGGTAAGAGAACATGGCTAGCGAAGAGATCCGAGTAGTACTGGTGGATGATTTTCTCCATAGCCCTTCTGGAAGCTGTAAGTGTCCCGTCAGGGTATCGGAGTGCAATCATCTTGGTCTTATAGTTGGCGAAGCCTCGCTGGGCTTTGCGAATGCTCTTCCCAGCTTCTGCAGCTTCTGCCATAACTGCTGCTCTTCTCTCTTTAAGGTCTTCTTTTATCGCTTCTCTGCATCGTTTCGCAAGTTCGGACGTAAGGTTTCGGTTGCCTGCAGCTCGTGCGATTCCACGTTGACGTATCAGCTCGAGTGTCTGCGGAGACAAGCGTCTCTTCGTGACCTTAGGACTCTCGGCTTTTTTAGCGCTAACGTGAAGATATTCAACGAGTCGATCGTATTCTTCGTCGATGTTGTCGACAACGGTATCTTCCCAAGAGCCGACTAATGATTTGAATACATCCCAGTTTATGGTAGTTCTGGGACTTCGTTGTTTGAATTTAGCGGCTTTCTCTCCTCTCCTCGAAAATCGGAACGTTGCGCGAAGGAGGCGATGGTCTGATCCCGTGTAGAACTTGGGAACAACAGCGACGTCGGTCAGGCAAAACCTTCGATTTACTATGATGTGATCTATTTCGTTATGGTACTCTCCATTGGGAGACTCCCACGTCCATCGCTGAGAGAGAGGCTTTTGGAATTGCGAGTTACCATGGATGGTTTGGGTCGTCATGATAAACTCGGATAGCCTCTCACCCTGTTCATTCCATTCTAGTCCGTGGGTCCCTATGTGACGTTCTTCAGACGTTCTTCTAGGTCCAATTTTTGCGTTAAAATCTCCGACAATGACCTTGAAGAATGTATGATCTTCTCTGAAGAATTTTTCGAGGTCCATATAGAACGCTTCGACTTCGTCTTCGTCATAGCTTGATGTTGGTGCGTAAGCAACGAAGATGGTCAAAGCCGGCATAGAACCACATCGTTTCAACCGTAATCGTCCGATACGGGTTGTTAGTTGTTCGAACGAATCAATGCTCACGGTCAAATTCGATTTGACGAGGACGCCAACGCCACCGACACCTCTGCGATCGCATGTTCCAAGGAACAGTTCTTCTCCGGTGTCATAGACAGCGTGAAAAGGATGGCGCCTTCTCGTCTCAGCCAGGCCAATGACGTCGTACCTTATTCTTCTTGCTTGAATCAATAGATCTTCTACTGCGGATTCGTGAGCAAGGGTTCTTGCGTTGTAGGTACAGATCGTCATTTTAGTCCGTTTCGATCTTGGCAGCCTAGTTCGGCCCTGAGATTTTAGCAGCCTCTCCGTACTCGTCCTACCTGGCGCTGCCGTACCAGGGGCTCTTTCGGGGTCAGGGGAATGAGGCCCATATTTGTTACTGTTTTTGGCATTTTGATACCCAACGTGTAGCTTGCCAGGCTCTAAACGTGGGGGCTGGGTACTCACGAGTAGCTTGCCAGTCTCTCTCGGAGGAGCGGGAGGAGCTTATTTGTTGGAGGCGACTCCTAACCGCCTCCCATGTACTTCCCAGCCGCTTGATTGCAAGCTTTTGGCCGACTTGACTCGTAGAAATAGAGTTTTGTCAAGTCGGCGCTGCAGAAGCAGGGAGCTCGTCCCCTGAATCCACCTGCGTCTCTGGGAAGCACATGGTCGCTTTTGGTTCGCGTTTTCTTCCCCTATCCACCACCTGGGGACGCGCCACGTGCCCTCGCGACTAACCGGGCGGGATCCCTCAAAGAGGGAGGTCCGTGGTCAAAGAGGGAGGTCCGTGGACAACCGCAATAGGGGGTGAAAAAAATGAATTCTGATTGTCCCAGTTATATATTTCTAAGTCGGAACATGATAAATGATTTATCCCTGGAGTTGAAGAAAAGCGCCGATTGGTGAGCTCATATAGCACCAAAGATGTAGTGCGCATAGCAAAACGACGTGACATCGCCATGACCATTTCCTCACAACAATCCTCCTTTCTGACAGAATTTTTGGTACTTTTCCGTTATCGATGGCCTTTTCGACTCCTTGTAAAAACGTCTTTTTTGCTTTTTCCAATGAGCAAACAATCATTCGATAGCACAAATCGAAAGAATTTGAATGGTAAATCTCATCTTCAAAAAGGCCTTCTTATTGCGCTAAAAGAGTAATAAAAGTATGTTTCTCATCGAAAGATTTCTCACTGATCAAAACTTTTTCCTCGGAGTTTTACGAACCAATCGATAAACCAAATCTTACGAATTCCAATGATCTTTTTGGTTTTTATAATGGACATGGTATTACGCTGTGTCATTCAAAAGAAGATTGAGTTTTGCAGAAAAGGGATCACTTCAATCATCTTTTCCTGGAAAAAAACGTATTTCTCAATAGTTTTCAATGTTTAAATATCTAACCGATTGCTTAAATTAGAAGAATTTGCATGGTGCAATTCACTTTCAAAAAAGCCTTGTTATTGCGCTGAAAGAGTAAAAATAATAGATTATTTAGAATCCTTTTTACTTGACTGCCACTTGCAGTGGTATGATGTTATAGTATACCAAATAATGTGGAGTGCTGTGCAAAACATTTGCAGCAGCCGGGATTCGAACCCAGATCTCACTTTTTCCGGGAGCGTATGCTAACCGTTGCACTACCGATGCTCGTTTTGCACAGCACTCTTACGCTATAACGAGTTCATATTCCACATTATTGGGTATACTATAACATCATACCACTGCAAGTGGCAGTCAAATAAAAAGAATTCTGACTGATTATCGATACTCAATGTCTGTTAACACAAGTGGGTTCAATGCCGATAGCGGCTGCCCTCCAGAGCGTCGACGGTTGGCTGTTGGCAGACAACGCATTATAGTGTAAAAAAGAGTGCTGTGGAAAACGAGCGTCGGTGGTGCAACAATTAGCATATGCTCCCGCAAAGAGTGAGATCTGGATTCGAACCGGCTGACGCAAATGCTTTTGCACAGCACTCCACAATATTGAATAAATTGTTCCTCATTCGAAAATTTCTCACTACCCACGTCCTCTCTCTTCTAGTCTCAGAAACCAAGGGATAGATCAAATGTCAAGGATTCTAATAGTGTTTTTGATCTTTTGAAAAGACATCTTTGTTTCATGAGAACCAAAAGAAGATTAGGTTTTGCACTCTATGCTATTTAATCCAATTAAGCGAAGCCTAATATTCTTTTGGCTCTTACAGCGTGACAAGAGGTTGATATTCAAAAACAGGCAGAGCTTCGAATCCTTAACATCTAATCTATCGAATGATTACTAAAACTCCAAAGGGAAAGCTTTGGTCAACGAGAAATCTTGAATAAGAAACAGAATTTGTTTTTGCTCTTTCAGCGCAATA